CAATGGGGTTCCCCTTTTTTGTTGGTAAGCCTTGAGGTCAAAATCATATAAAGCTACTGTAGTAGAATAATTGTTAGATCCCTTAGCTGAAAGGAAGATTCCTAGATGGATAAATGTTTTCAGTACTTCAGGGCAAACAAGGTTTTTACTTTTTTGGATAGCTGGGTTTCATAAAAAGTATTATTTCGAAATACGTTACTCGGATTCTGGATGAGTGTCGGATACGTGTATGCATCGGATAAGAGTGTGTCCGGTTTTATAATTTATGATTGGATTTGGCTAAAAGTGGATAGACTTTGATTCCTGAATCTCTTATTAACATTTTGACTAGGTTATAATGTCACTATTTGATTCTTAATGCAGATAGGTCAAGTGTGTACATTGATTGCAGTGTTTGGATGTGGCAATGTCAAGTAGTTACTAATGTTTGTTCTTTGTTGTGTTTGAGATGAAGAATGCCTTCTTTTTTTCATTTTTTGTTTCGCTTGGGTGGGGATTCATTCATTAAATTTGCTGCAAATTTCATAGTGAGGAAGCAACAAAGCCCAACAATGACCGCAGAGGATTTTCATGATGTTAAAAGTTTAAAAAGATGGAGAATAGAAGTAACTAAAACAGGTTTGTATAAACTACCATAGTCCAAAAGATTGAAATTTTGTTGATATCTTCACTGGCTACCTTCTTTTTATTACCTGCTATGTCGCTTTGACTCTTCATTTTTCTTGAAGTGCAAGTCTGGAATGATCTGGTCATGGTGGACATACCCGCATAAGACACATCCGTATTTGACACTTGTTTAAGAGTCCATGTTATCATAGATCCTCTTAGATCAATGTATGATCCGAGTCCGGTTATCAGTGACCTATGGGCTATTCATTCCCTTCAATTAAATATGGTCTTGCATCTTAATGTAAAGCTTAATGCATTCTTGTCTACATAAGTTATCTGAATTGAAGCATCTAATGTATGGATTAATGGACCATGACCAAGTCTGGAATAATTTTAGTAGTACTAGACTGCTGCAAAGTTTGTCACCATGTCTGTCTTGTAATAATTTCCTTGTGCCGATAGAGAAAAACTTCAAATTTAGTTGCAATAATTTTCTATTTTATTTTGATATTGATTAGTGTTTTGATGTATCAGATTCAGAAGCTCTCTGTCTTCCTTAGCAGATGTTGAAAGAATCTTGAAGCTCCCCAAGTGGAGAAGCAGAGGGAAAAAGGAGCCCGAATTCATTGGACTCATTGAGGACTTTCACAGAGTACCAGTCTCTCTATTTACAGTATGAACTTCAAGGATACAATGGAGGCAGGCAAAAATGCATTGAATGGATAGATTTTATTGGTGAATGGAAATTCGCAAACCGGCGCTTCAAAGGTTGAAGATGAGCTTGTTTCTACCAATAACATCGATACAGGGAAGGCTCATGAAACTGAACAGCTGAATGTGGACGCGATGTTAGCAGAAGTTGGTAAGGAAAACGAGTTGTTGAAGGAGAAGGTTTCGAGTTTTTGAAGCTAAGTTGAGTGAGGAAGGAGAAGAAAAGTTGAAGCTGTTGAAAGCCAGGGCGGAGCTTTAGACTCTAGTGAAAGCATTCGAGAAGATTACAAAGGAAAAAGATGAAGCATTGTTAGGTAGGGAAGAAGAAAAGAGGGTAGCCATTAGAGAGCTCTGCCAGTTGATCGACTATCACCGCGGCCGCTATGATCGACTCACTGAAATGATCACCAACAACACTGCCATAACCAAGAAAAAAAACATGATTTTTTTGCAAATATTTCATCTGCTTGTTATTATATTCATTATTTTTTTTTCTAATCAATCAATATCCTGTTTTAATTTTTTTAAAATTCTTATTTACGAGTAATTTTATGTGACTAATTTTTTATTTTTGCCTAGGGTAGGAATTTTGAATCCTTGATTTGGACAACAACTGAAGTCCGCAAAGGTACAAGCCTCAGAAACAGGAAGTTTCGTGACTAAAACGTAGAAAGAAATATAATTCAACAGTGCAGTGGTTCACTTCACGTGCTCTTCTCCCCTGAATTCGATTATTTTTTTCAATTTGATCATTATATTTCTTTTTTTTTCTAATTTAGCCATTAAATTGGATTTTATTATTATTTAATAATTTAACACTATAAGAGTGTTATGTGACACAATCTTAGGATATCTTATTGTAAAAATGTTAAAATTAAGAAAATTATCGAGTTCAAAGACTGATATGAAAAAAAAACCCTTCAATGATCAAGTTCAAAAAAGTTTATCAAGTTTAGAGTCAAATTTACTTTAACTCTAAAATTTAGGAACATAAACTTTGATTTGTTACAAATATATTCATGAACTTTAATTTTGACTTAATTATATATATGAAGTCTTGTTTTTTATTTAATTATATACATTTTAAAAGTAAATTTATTCATTTTATTTTTCATATCATATACATATAATTAGTTATATACATAATATTTAAACATAAAATAATGCTATGTGGTCTGTAAAAAAATGATGTTATGTTGATGATAATTTTAGGAATTTATGAAAATTGGATAGAATTAAAAATTTATGTATACATTTGTACAAAATCAAAATTTATTTATATATTTATATATTTGACCAAAATTCAAGTGTAGTTTTTATATTTATCTCTTAAAATTTAAGATTTTATTTTAAAATGATAGAAAAACATAAATAATTTTATCTCATTCAATTAAGTAAAAAATGAAATTCAAATTTTATAATCAGTTTTAAATCCTACTGTACTTGTTATAGTTTGAATTCAAATTAATTTTGTTAAATAACTAAAAATAAAGTTACATGTTAATAAAAATCAATTAACTTTATTTAATTACTTAAATTTAATTTACTTGATAATTTAAAATATTTAAATTTAATTAACAATAGAGATTAATTTAAGTGATAAGTAATTTAATATAATTTAAATAAGATTTCAAATTCTATTATTTTTTAAAAAGTATTTGAATCCAATCACGTTGAGAGTAGAAACATTTCGTTTTCCGACAGCCAAAATGAACAGAAAGAAAAATAATTAAACGAGAAAATACAAATGAATGTGGTTTATTGAATTCATCTCTTGTGACGAGAAATTGAAGGGCATAACTGAAATAAAATACAAAGGCAAGGGCGGTTAATTATTATTAGAATAAAAGAAAGCTCCAAGAATTCCATTCCGTCCCCTGAGAATGAAAGCCTACAGCCATGCTCTTATTTGGTTAAAAAAAATGCAACAATTCTTTTTACTTAAAAAAAAACTCTGATTCTTCGTTTTTTCAGATTCTTCGTCTTAATCAAGTTTTGAAGCTCTGATTCTAAGGTAACCTTTGTTCATCGGCTGATTAATCATCACTTACTTCGTTCCTTTGATTACTTAAAACTTCAGTTTCAATAGAAAAAAAAAACTTCGATCAGTTTCGGTAATTGAATTTTCAGTTCAGTTTTCACTCTCTTTTCTTTTTCATGCAACGAATTTGTACTTTGATTCACTTGTTTTCTTTATCATAAGATTAACTTTGATCTTTTCTTTATGCTTTGGACTTCCATGTGGTTTTTGTTTTCGAACTCCGTAATTGAAAATGACTTAAAAGATGAAAAGCTTATTAGATGATGATTTCCAGTGCAAATCAAAGGACTTCTTCTTTAATATTTTCCAGATTTTATTCGTTTCGGACTTACAACTTGTATCAGCATCAGTGTTGATTCGGTTATTCATCTTGAATTTCAATATTTCACTCTTTTTAATTTAGAAAAAAAATCGAAATCTACTTGTTTTCTGCAGAAATTTAGCAAAGCTTCGGATTCAAGATTGAGAGACGAAGGTTACGAGAAAGTCTCAGATCTCAGGTGAAAATAGTGCCCAATTCCTACTGCTATTCCTTTACTGTTTTTGAGTAATTGAGTGATGATGATTCACTGGCCTTGACTTGTATGTATGAATTGGAAAAAAGAAAATGAATGAACAAAAGGAACAGCTCACCTTTTTTTTTTTTTTGCAATAATAGCTGTCTTTTATCGTTTCGATACCAAATCAGATTCTCCATTTGTGGGTGGGTGATTGCATTCCCCAGTGAATGTGATGATGATGTGTCGCCACGCCAGACTGGAATCATACCCGCCACTTTACTGATCATTTGCTCCTTAAAATGACAAGTTTAGCTGTTTTTTCTTAATAATCTTTCTTATTATGCTGATTGCTGCTTGACTGAGAGTGTGGATCTCGATTACTGGTTCGATCGGTTGAATAGATTGAATAATGAATAATATATTATATGTTTGATTTTATTCAAATAATTTTAAATTAAAAAAAAAACTAATAAATATAGTAATTTTCTCTTTTTCTATTGGTTAAATCGCTTCAAACCTCCGTTTCATGTAAACCATCTGATCAACTAAGCTTTCGATTATTGATTGATACAATTCGATTGGGTTAGTCTTGTATTGTTTTTGTTTGCTGAATAATAAGATAGTAGTGATAGTAATGAAGATGCATACGTTGATCATGTGGACCATGTTCTACTATGGAACCAAAATCTTATAATCATGTTCCTATTATTTTGTCTTATTTGATAATTTTGATGCTTAGATTTAATAAATTAGTTCCCAACTTTCCACTTGAGAGAAAAAAAAATGTTTGAGATCTTGCCATTTTAAGTTGAATTGCCCAATAGAAAATGGATTTGATTCTCTTTTTTTAAAAAAGTAGCACTTTTTGTTCACTTTTGGTGTCAAGTTCAGGGCCAAGAGTATTTTAATATAGGGGGAGTGAGTTTGGCGCCATTGATACCCGGTTCTAGTCAATATAATACCAGTATACTTTGTTAAATTATTTTAATTGTGTTTAATTGGTGATTAGTTGTTTAGGGTTCTCATGACATCATTTGTTTGCAACTTCTGCAATCAATCTTCTCTAGTTAGGGCTGTGTTGTATTGTCTCTGGTTGGAACAATTTTGAAACTAATTACCAAGTATCCTTAATTATGCCCTTTTCAGGTTTTATGCTTGTGATGGAGATTGCCTTTTCTTCATGCCCACTTCCTGAGTAAAATCAGCTGGTAATCCGATAGAGATGACCAGGCATCGTTTTAGGGAGTCTATAAAGTCCTTCTTAGGGTACCATGTTGATCCAGAAAGGGATGAGCAGCTTAAAGGAAGTAAAATAGGTAATTTTCTACATATACTTTGTGTTTCTTTTGGGCGCAATTTTCTATTTTACTTGTAACTTTGATTACTAATTTTCTGAGTAACACAGACTCCGATTTATGAATGTTCTGAAATGCCACAGGCAGCTTAACATGGTTTTCAACTTTTGATTTTTTTTTATCTCAAGTGTAAACTCCCTTCACTGCAGAAATTGATGAAAAGGTGGCAACAATATTGAAGCTCATCAAGGATGAAGATTCTGAAGGAAATGATGGAGTTCCGATAGATGACTCCAAGAAGGAACCTCTTGTTCGGTTAATCGAGGATTTTCACGAACACTACCAGAACCTGTATGCACACTATGATCATCTCACAGGGGAGCTGAGGAAAAAAGCTCATGGGAAACGAGATAAAGATGCATCCTCTTCGTCAAGCTCGGATTCGAATTCTGATAGTTCTACAAAAAATGGGGGCAGTAAAAATGGAATCTTGGAGAGAGAATTTCATGCAATAGAAGGCGTTAAACAAGAACTTGAAGCTGCAACTCTGGAAATTGCTGATCTTAAGCGGAAGCTGGCAGATACAAGTGAAGAAAAAGATGCCTTGAATTCAAACTATCTAGCTTCTTTAAGCAAGGTACAAGAAGCAGAGGAAATCAACACAAATATAAAGCTTGAATCTGAAAGATCAGAGAGTGAAAAATCAAAACTTCTGGTTGAGAATGAAGCGCTAAGGCAGAAGCTGGACACTGCTGCTAAGATGGAAGCCGAGGTGAACCAAAGATTGGAGGAGCTGCATAGAGAAAACAGTCAATTACTTATAGAGAAAGAGGCCGCTGTTAAAAGAATTGAAGATGGCGAGAAGCTTGCGGAAGATCTTAGAAGAGAAGTTGGTTTGCTGAAGGAGGAAAATATAAATTTAAAGCAAGAGCTAGACAGTGTCAGAGGGGAAGTTTTCAATGTGCAGCAACAGCTGGAATCTTCAGAACAACGAGTTTCGGGAGTGAGCCAGAGTCTTAATGTCACGATGGAAGAGAATAAGTCGCTGAACGCAAAGCTCTCTAAGGTTTCGAATGAGATTCAGCTGGCACAGGGCACAATACAACAACTCATGGCTGAAATTAGTCAATCAAAGGCGGATCTGGGTGACAGAGAAAAGGAACTTGTGACGCTCAAAGAGTTGCATGAAGTGCATGGGAATCAATTATCTGCTAAGATAAAAAAATTAGAGGCACAAGTAACAAGCTTGGAACTCGAATTGGAACAATTGCGAACAACAAACAGAGATATGGAGCTTCAATTAGAGAACAAAGCAAGTGAAGTGAAACAGCTGGGAGAGGTAAATATAGGGCTGCAATCCCAAATTTCAGAACTCGAGATGATGTCAAAACAGAGAGAAGAAGAACTTTTGACTCTCTCAACTAAATTCGAGGACAATGAGAAAGAATCATTCTCTAGAGTGGAAAATTTGACAATTCAGATCAACAATCTGGTAGCAGACATGGAGTCACAACGCACACAGAAATCTCAGTTGGAAGAACATATTGCAGTGAAAAGTGATGAAGCATCAACTGAAATCAAGAGCTTGATGGATCAAATAAATACCTTGCAGCTTGAGCTGGAGTCCCTGCATAGCCAGAAAGCAGAGCTGGAAGATCAGCTTGAGAGTAAAGCTCAAGCTATTTCAGATCATGTGATTGAGATAGAAAAGGCAAAAGAAGAGATAGTAAGCAAGACTGAGGATCAGCAAAGAGTTCTGGAGGAGAACGAGAGTTTGCTGGCACAAATGAAAGAACTAGAACTTGAGGTCAATTCTCTACGGAATCAGAAAGGTGAATTGGAAGAGGGCTTAAGAACTAAAATGGAAGAGAACGATCAGCTGAGGGAGAAAAATACAGTACTGCAGTCCCAAATTTCAGAACTCGAGATGATATCAAAAATGAGACATGAAGAACTTTCGGCTCTCACAATGAAGTTTGAGGATAACAAGAAAGAATCATCATCTAGAGTGGAGAATTTGACATTGCAGATCAACAATATGGTTGCAGACATGGAGTCATTACGCACCCAGAAAGCTCAGTTGGAAGAACATATTGTAGTGAAAGGCGATGAAGCATCAACTCAGGTTAAGAGCTTGATGGATCAGATAAATACTTTGCAGCAGGAGCTGGAGTCCTTGAATGGCCAGAAAGCAGAACTGGAAGTGCAGCTGGAGAGAAAAATTCAAGCTATATCAGATTATGTGATCGAGATAGAAAAGGCAAAAGAAGAGATAGTAAGCAAGACCGAGGATCAACAAAGAGTTTTGCATGAGAAAGAGGGTTTGCTGACAAAAATAAATGAACTAGAATTTGAGTTAAATTCTCTGAAAAATCAGAAAGGTGAGCTGGAAGAGGACTTAAGAACGAAAATTGAGGAGAACGACAAGTTGAGGGAGGGAAATACTGGACTGCAATCCCAAATTTCAGAACTAGAGATGATATCAAAGCAGAGACAAGAAGAACTTTCGACTCTCACAAGTAATTTTGAGGACAAAGAGAAAGAATCATTGTCTAGAGTGGAGAATTTGACATTGCAGATTAACAATCTGCTAGTAGACATGGAGTCATTGCGGACCCAGAAAGCTCAGTTGGAAGAACATATTGTAGTAAAAGGTGATGAAGCGTCGAATCAGGTGAAGAGCTTGATGGATCAGATAAATACATTGCTGCAGGAGTTGGAGTCCCTGCATAGCCAGAAAGCAGAACTTGAAGTTCAGCTTGAGAGTAGAACTCAAGCTGTTTCAGATCATGTGATTGAAATAGAAAAGGCAAAAGAAGAGATAGTAAGCAAGACTGAGGATCAACAAAGAGTTTTGCTGGAGAAAGAGAGCTTGCAGGCACATATCGAGGAACTAGAATCTGAGGTCAGTTCTCTGAAGAATCAGAAAGGTGAACTGGAAGAGGACTTGAGAACGAAAATTGAGGAGAACGACAAGTTGAGGGAGGAAAATACAGGACTGCAATCCCAAATTTCAGAACTAGAGATGATATCAAAGCAGAGACAAGAAGAACTTTCGACTCTCACAAGTAATTTTGAGGACAAAGAGAAAGAATCATTGTCTAGAGTGGAGAATTTGACATTGCAGATTAACAATCTGCTAGTAGACATGGAGTCATTGCGGACCCAGAAAGCTCAGTTGGAAGAACATATTGTAGTAAAAGGTGATGAAGCGTCGAATCAGGTGAAGAGCTTGATGGATCAGATAAATACATTGCTGCAGGAGTTGGAGTCCCTGCATAGCCAGAAAGCAGAACTTGAAGTTCAGCTTGAGAGTAGAACTCAAGCTGTTTCAGATCATGTGATTGAAATAGAAAAGGCAAAAGAAGAGATAGTAAGCAAGACTGAGGATCAACAAAGAGTTTTGCTGGAGAAAGAGAGCTTGCAGGCACATATCGAGGAACTAGAATCTGAGGTCAGTTCTCTGAAGAATCAGAAAGGTGAACTGGAAGAGGACTTGAGAACGAAAATTGAGGAGAACGACAAGTTGAGGGAGGAAAATACAGGACTGCAATCCCAAATTTCAGAACTAGAGATGATATCAAAGCAGAGACAAGAAGAACTTTCGACTCTCACAAGTAATTTTGAGGACAAAGAGAAAGAATCATTGTCTAGAGTGGAGAATTTGACATTGCAGATTAACAATCTGCTAGTAGACATGGAGTCATTGCGGACCCAGAAAGCTCAGTTGGAAGAACATATTGTAGTAAAAGGTGATGAAGCGTCGACTCAGGTGAAGAGCTTGATGGATCAGATAAATACATTGCTGCAGGAGTTGGAGTCCCTGCATAGCCAGAAAGCAGAACTTGAAGTTCAGCTTGAGAGTAGAACTCAAGCTGTTTCAGATCATGTGATTGAAATAGAAAAGGCAAAAGAAGAGATAGTAAGCAAGACTGAGGATCAACAAAGAGTTTTGCTGGAGAAAGAGAGCTTGCTGGCACATATCGAGGAACTAGAATCTGAGGTCAATTCTCTGAAGAATCAGAAAGGTGAACTGGAAGAGGACTTGAGAACGAAAATCGAAGAGAACAATCAGTTGAGGCAGGAAAGGGTGGGTTTACAAAATCAAATCTTTGAATTAGAGAAAACTTTGGCAGAAAGAGGGCTTCAGATCAATGCCCTAGTGTCACAGGTCAACGATTTGCAGCAGGAGTTGGATTCATTACAGAGCCAGAGAAATGAACTAGAGTTGCAGCTTGAGAGAGAGAAACATGAATCATCAGAAAGATTGATCAAATTTGAGAACGAGAAGTCTGGATTCGAAAGCCAAATTGTCAATCGTCAGAGAACACTAGAAGAACATGGCGAGGCATATAAGAAGTTGGTTGAGGAATACAAAGAGATCGAGGGGTTATACCAAGAGTGCAAGGCTAATGTGGAAGTTGCGGAAAGGAAACTGGAAGAAATGTCTGAAGAATTCCGTATAAACATCAAATCTAAAAGTCAGGTGGTTGAAGACCTTGAACGAGATTTGCAAGCAAAGGAAGATGAGAAAAATGATCTCCTAAATCAGATTACAAATCATCAGAGAATGCTAAAAGAACAAGATGATGCTTTTAACAAGCTAAACGAGGAATACAAACAACTTGAAGCTTCATTCGAGGAGTGCAAGGCAACTATTGAATTCACAGAAAGGAAGATGCAAGAAATGGCAGGAGAGCACAATACGAGCATTCAATCAAAGGATGAAATAGTTGCCGATTTGGAGCAAACCATTGAAGACTTGAAAAGAGATGTAGAAATGAAAGGAGATGAGCTCAGTAGCTTGGTTGAGAAGGTCCGCAATATCGAAGTTAAGCTCCGGTTGTCAAACCAAAAACTTCGAGTCACAGAACAATTGCTAACCGAGAACGAAGAGAGCTACAGAAAAGCGGAAGCAAAGTACCTGGAAGAAAAAAGACTGCTTGAAGAAAAGATCTCAACATTGTCTGGAATAATCGTTGCGAATAATGAAGCCTATAGCAGGATGATCAATGATGTCTCTGAGAATGTGAATAGTACATTGATCGGATTCGAATCAATCATCGATAAATTCGAAAAGGGGTGTAGAAACTACGAGCATTGCATCGAAGAAACATCGAAAGAGCTCAAGATTGCAAAGCGTTGGGTTGAAGAGACAAAGAGTGAAAAGAAGCGGCTAACTAATGAAGTAACAAACTTGGTCAAGCAACTGAAAGATCTGAAAGAAGAAGAATCCACGCTGCGAGAGCAAGTGGAGAAGCTACGGATTAAGGCACACAAGGAAGAAGGCGAGAAGGAGAATCTGGTGAAAGCCATGAATCAGCTGGAGAAGAAGGTTGAATTGTTGGAGACGATGATGAAAGAGAAGGATCAAGGCATAATCGGACTAGGAGAGGAGAAGAGGGAGGCCATTAGGCAGCTGTGCTTGTGGATCGATTATCACCGCAGCCGCTGCGATGATCTAAAGGAAATCATCTCAAAAACTATCAGAGTCCAGAGGGCAGCCTAGAGGTATTCCCTGTCACTATTTCTTATAATGTCCATTTGGGGTCTTGCATGTGTGGATTATTATTTTTCATTATTTCATTGTTTTTCCCGCTTTTTTTTAATAAACTTTCTCGGGTAATGTATGTTTAGTCAGCTTGTGTTTCATAGAACTTATTTGCCCTGTAAAGATAAATTTACGGTATAACCGTTTATTAGAAAAATATATATATATATCGGTTTATGAGTAGATCTCCTACATACGAGTGTCATTCTATCGAGTTTACGCAAAGAAAATTATGTTGGTATTCATTTGCTTATTTTTAGAGACATTTATGTTCGGTTTATATTCATATAAATTTTCAGTGTTGTATCTGTGTTTGTTATTTATTTATTATTAAAGATATTTGTATCCGTTCATTTAACGTTTACAAATATATTTATTTAACATTCGTAAACATCTTTGTTTAATGTTTGTAAACATCTACTTTTATTTTCGGGTCAAAGAAAATTAGTGAAATTATGTCACTAGTCTTTAAGTTTCTTAAATTTCACAGTTTAAACTTCATCTTATGTTTAATTTATTCTTCAATCTTTACTGATGATTAAAATATAAAAATAAAATAGAAAAATGAGAATCGAGTAAACATATAAATGAACACACAACCGAACTTTAAATAAGCCAACAAACGAGTTTGTTTGTAAAAATATAAATAAATTGAATATATTTTTGTTCGTATTTATTTATTTATTAAATAAATATAAAAAATATATTTATATTTATTTATTTTATTTAATTAATAAATTTTATACAATAATTTACGAATATGCCACTACATTCGTACATAAGAAGTGAAAAACAAAAAGAATAATCATCCTAATTAGCAAGAATCTCCCACAGCAATTCAGCATCAAAAGACGGCATTCTCGCAAGCGAACAATCTTCAAACACTGGTTCCTCTGTAATCATCGTCGGATAATCATTCAAAACAGAAGAAGGCGAATTCTTACATCTCCAAAACCCATCTTCCGACACTTTCGGCGTCGCCGATTCGTTGCTTAATTCGTCGCTAAAAAACAAAGGCGGCGAGGAATTAGACAACGGCTCCGAAACACTAGCTTGTTTCGCTGCTTTCTTCTTAGTTTTCTTCTCTCTTTTCACCTTTTGACAAATGACTTGAATCTTAGCGTCCACCGTGTTCTTTAAAGCCTTCAGCTTAGCACAGTCTGCAAATCCCAACTCAGTCAAGTCCTTCGTGTTCGGGAAATTCAACCTCGCGTATTCTCCTCGAAGCTTATACGCGGCGCGATCGTAAGCATAAGCGGCGGTTTCGGCGTTGTCGTAAGTGCCTAACCAGACACGGACTCTGTTTTGCGGGAGTCTGATTTCGGCTACCCATTTTCCCCATTGCCTCTGTCTCACCCCTCTGTACAGCTTCTTCTTTTGAGGGCTCAAGTAATTGGTCGTTAATGGAGGTTTTTTGTAGTCTAGAAGAAGACCCTTCGTGGAATTTCGAGAAATTGAAGGGCTTCCTCTGTTTTCTTGGCAGAATTTTTGAAGGAGATCTCGTTGCCGGATATAGACCGATGAGCCCAATGGCTCCTTAATGGCGGTTGACGGTGGTGGACAATGAGAGAAGACTGGATCTAAAGTAGTCGAGCCGCCTGATAATATGACCTGTGATAACGATGACCCAACATCAACGACATTGTCGAATCCAATAGAATGGTTGATTTCTTGCATTTTTTTCACTTGATTTGTAAAACACAGAGAAACCTTAAGAACGAAGAAAACCCAATAGAGATCGAGCATGATTCTTTGTTCAAGCATTTGGTATATTTATAGAAGATCGGTGTGTGAACTAAATGGTTTTCCACATCTCTTATTAATCTTAATTATTAATATGAAATTTTAATATTATTTTAAATAATACATCAAATTTTACATTAAAACAGTAAAGAAAAGGAACATAAAATGAGTTTTCTCTTTTGAGGTAATCACCATTAAGTATTTTTATATTGTGAATGTCTCATAAAGAGAAAAAACATATGAAAGTCAAATTATAAGATAAATAATATATATTTAAAGTGATATTAATACTATTTGATTGTATGTTTTAAAAAATGTTATTTGATTATATATTAATTTAGTTGAGGGTATTTCTGCTGTGCGGCGCCTAAAAAACGACTAAAAATGACGTGACCGGTTAAGATTTAGACTAGTTATGTTATATCATTTAACCGAAAATATTATCAAATAAAATAACATATTAGGTAGCGCTTATATAATGTAATAGGTAGCGACTATATAATAAAATAGACATTTAACCGGAAATATTATCAAGTACAATAACATATTAGGTAGCGCTTATATAATGTAATAGGTAGCGCTTATATTGACCTATTTTATAAGTAAACCGATATATTTATACATGTAACATTGCAAATTTACATATTACATTATAATTATCGGTTTCGATGTTTTTTGGATCGATACAATTTTAAATGTATCGACACTTTATGCGTGCACCTCGTTGGGCATTCATTATGGAAACAAGTATCGACACAAACTTAAAGAGTGTTAATACATTATTTAGAACTATTTTTTTCATAAAACCGGTATATTTCTATCGGGTACATTGTAAATTTACCTATCACATTGTAATTATCGGTTTCGATGTTTTTGGGATCGATACTTTTAATAAATGTATCGACACTTTATGCGTGCACCCGTTTGGCATTCATTATGGACAAAATGTATCGACACAAATTTAATAAGTGTCGATACTTTATGATGACCTATTTTCTCATAAAATCGGTATATTTATATATCGGTTACATTGTAAATTTACATATTACATTATAATTATCGGTTTCGATTTTATTGGGATCGATACTTTTAATAATCGTATCGACACTTTATGCGTGCACCTCGTTTGGGCATTCATTCTGGACAATAGGTATCGACACAAATTACACAAGTGTCGATACATTATGTTGACATGTTTTCTAATAAACCGGTATATTTATACCAGTTACATTGTTAATTTACCTATTACATTATAATTATTCGTTTCGATGTTTTTTGGGTCGATACTTTTAGAAAAAGTATCGACACATATTTAGGTAGTTATTGTACACACCTAAATATGTCACACGAATTTAATGTTGTACCCACCCTTCAACTACCACTACCAATACCACATCCTATTGAAAGCACGACTGAAACATGTTGAATGAACCTTTACTTACATCTCCATCAACTCCGGGACCACTGAACTTGCACAACAATATTTTTGCCATGGATCATACTGATGCAGACAATGTTAAGCCAACCGAGGAATGTCATGAAGTACATAATGTTGATGAATCTAACAGATTGGTTGGTCAGCTCTTATCTTCACGTGATCAAGCTTGGTACTTTTACAAGGGATTCGTACGGGAACATGGGTTTAGTGCACGTAAGGGAACAACACGGCTTGACGTGGAAGGGAATCTGAAGACACAAGAATTTTGTTGTTCCAAAGAAGGGTTTCAAGTATCAAAAGGCAATACTGTTGATCGTCAACGTGCTTATACGCCAGTCACAAGAACAAGATGCAAGGCTAGAGTCATAGTTACAACAACAAATTTAAACGATCACTGGGTTATAAGTAAGTCTTATCAGAAACATAATCATGCATTGTGAACACCTGCTATGACACCATTTATGCGTTCTAATAGAGCTGTAAGTAAGGCTGATATCGATGAGGCAACAACATTGAAAGAGGTCGGTGTTGGCACGTCACAAGTAATGAACTATTTAACGCAACAGGCAGGGGGCTATCATAATGTTGGATTTATACATAAAGACCTCTACAATGCACTTCAAAGAGGTAAATCAAAGGAAATCATCGATGGGGATGTGAATGCGCTTATTGCTTACTTTGATTATAAGAAATATGATGATCCCGGGTTTTTTATGACATACTCGGTAGATGAATCAGGGGCATTGCATAATCTTATTTGGTTGGATTCTACATCGAGATCAGATTACACATGCTTCGATGATGTAATTGCGTTCGACACAACGTACAAAGATAATTTGTATGGTCGACCAATTATGCCTATTGTCGGTGTCAATCATCACCATAACACAATTGTGTTTGCCACTGCCATAATCGCTGACGAGACGTCCCAATATTTCGAGTGGGTGCTACAGAATTTTTTAGAAGCCATGATGAATAAATCGCCAATTTCAGTTGTCACCGATGAAGATAGAGCAATGCAGAGGGCTATCAAATCTGTTATCCCTTATGTTAAGCACAAATTATGTTCTTGACATCTTTCTCGCAATGCACAAGCTAACATTGGTGACCTAAAATTTATAGCAGCATTCTCAAAATGCATGGCTTCCTGGTGAAACCCGAGGAATTCGATATTTAATGGCGTTCGGTTATTTCAGAATTCAACGTCGAAAAGCATCCATGGGTGATTGAGAAGGGAAATAATCGGCACGTATGGGCACAAGCATATCTAACCGGTCATTTCTTTGTCAATATTTACTCAACACAAAGGTGCGAGTCTATAAATGCTTCACTAGCGATTGCACTGAAACACAAGAAGACATATTTAGATGTTGTTCGTGAAATTGAAGATGGAATTAGTAGAATGTGTATGAACAAGTTGAAAGCGGATTACTTAAGTTCCCAGACGAAGCCCTTCTAGATCACAAAACTGGTCGAACTTGAAAGTCATGCTACTGAGATTTTTACTCGCAAATCTTTTCGTACGTTCCAAGATGAACTTCAACGGGAGACATTGTAACGGATTGAGGAAGAGATTAAGTCCTTATCAGATGAATATCAACATTATATTTTGACAAAGTACAAAGAAAAAAATAGGACATTTGAAATTAGTTTTGATTCTCGTTCGGAAACCCTAATTTACTCCTGCAAAATATTCGAGACCATTGGACTTCCGTATCGCCATCAACTTCACATTTTGAAGCACTTGGATTACACATATTTGCCCGGGACTTTGATTCAAAGTAGGTGGACTAAGGATGCGAAGGCTTCTGCACCCAATTATGTTGACTTGAATGTGCCTCCAGAAATGATGCAAATGGTAAGGTTCATTGCTCTACGTTCAACGTCAAGTAGGTTATGCTACATTGCATCAAAGACAGACGCGCCTTTCAAAACCGCAAGAGATGAGATGAAAAGACTAATAAAATAATTTGAAAACTCGTTTGGTTTGAATGATTCAGTCAACCAGAGCATTGTAGTAAACAACGTTCGCGACCCTCAACGAAAACAACATAAGCGAAAAGAAGTACCGAAGAACAAGGTCGAGAAGAAAATTAGGCGATGTGGGTACTGCAACAGTGAGGGGCATAACAAACTAACATGTCCTCAAGTCAAGCTCAGTTTGAATACAAGCACACAACTTACATCAACTGATTTTTTCGAAGACGGAATGGAATGGCCATTCAGTCCCGCACGTGATGACAATGATCTCCATATATCGTAAATATCAACATGACTCCTATTGTGTATAAGAAATATGTACAACAACCTATTGCTAACTTTTCTCATCTCATACATAATTACATTCACATACAAAATTATAAATCGTATGTAACTTATACAAAAATAACCCTATATTAACAAAATTTCCTCTCTTAGTCTATTTTGATTGTGGCTTACGAGATCGTTTAATATTTCATCCGTATCATAACATAAATGCCAAACAATCTATAGACTATAGTCTCCCGCAATCATGGCCAGAATTAGTTTTGTAACTAGGATTATCCAGGTTAATCATGTTGACTGCATAGCCAATAAAACCTGGGGGTTCAAATGGTAAGCTAGGAATTGGTAAGGTAAGCTTTTTTTGAGGGTTTAGGGTTTAGAGCTCTCCAACATAAGGAGTGCATGATTGAACATTATGTATAATAGTTGTATTCAGTTGTTGAAGAATTGTTCTTAATTTTATATAAGGATAGTTGTTATGATATACGTTTACATTTCGGGACCAATTAGTTAGATGCGTGCAGTAACCTATATCCTCGAGGCAAAGCATAAGAAATCTGGCACTTAAAGATTTACCAAGAGCGGTAGCTTTTGCTCTGAATGAAGACCGAACCTAGAATCAACTTTACAATTATGCCTATCATGCTGAAGAGAACCTGTTGAAAAATAGGATTTGCACACAACCGCAAGCATTTTAAATGCTAAACCCAACTCCTCACATGGAAATTTTTCCATAAAATGATTGACATCTCTGTTGCATAAATTTCAATGTGAGTAGTTGGGTTTAGGGTTTAAAATGCTTGCAGTTGTGTGCAAATCCTATTATTCAGCAGGTTCTCTTCAGCATGATAGGCATAATTGCAAAGTTGATTCTAGGTTCGGTCTTCATGCAGAGCAAAAGCTACTACTCTTGGTAAATCTTTAAGTGTCAGATTTCTTGTGCTCTGCCTCGAGGATATAGGCTATTGCACGAATCTAACTAATTGGTCCCGAAACGTAAACGTATATCATAACAACTATCCTTATATAAAATTAAGAGCAATTCTTCAACAACTGAATACAACTATTATACGTCATGTTCAATCATACACTCCTTACGTTGGAGGGCTCTAAACCCTAAACCCTCAAAAGAAGCTTGTTTTACCAATTCTTAGCTTACCATTTGGACCCTGCAAGGGGTTTTATTGGCTATGTTGTCAATATGATTATGAGCTTCCTTTATCCTTCCGCATTCAGTAAGACTATAGAGATTTGAAGGTCAACA